GCCCGTCGCGTCTCGAGGCGGCGAGACCCCGAGCGTTCTCGCCGTGCTCGCGGTGGGACGCGCGCGAGGCCGGCGGCACCGCGCTCCCAACGACGTCGTTTCGTATCCGACGGTCCCAGCGTTGCCGGTTTTCCGTCCTCTCCGCAGAGCGCGGAACAGCACGGAACGGCCGTTGGAAGTCCGTGGGGCACAAAGCGGGCTTTGCAGGGCTGGAAGCAGGAAGGGGGCTGTAAGATACCGCATGACCACGGGCATTTTTATTCCTGTTATTGTATGAACAGAAGACTGAAAGGGTCTGCTTGAGTCGCCGGTTGCGTTTCTACCCCGAGGGACCAGCCGCTAACCCTCCTCGCACGTCTACGGAAGCTCTTGGAGGGCTGCTCCAGGCCCTTGTTGCTCCTAGGTTCCAAATTCAGGGGGTTTCTACTCTGTTCCCCTCAGTTTCATCTTTGGCCAACCGTGAAGCTGGAGGGTTCTTTCCCCCAGCCCCACCTTAGAGCTGTCCATACGCCCCTTGCGCCATCACAGCCCAACTCTTTACAAAAATACAGAATAAAAGACGCGCAGAGAGCCGGCTAAACCCCCGCCAGAGCACAAAACAGCGCTTGGAGCCCTCTCGGGGCCGAAAGTCCCAGAATGAAAACCGACGCCTCCAGCGCACGCGGATTTACACAGCACAGATGTTTTTATCAGCCCCCAGATCTGGTTTATTTTATGGGGCAGCTGTCGGAGTGCCTTCAGCTTTGGTTTCCAAACCGAAGAGACCGTTTCCCGTTTTCCAGACCAGCTCATTCCCAAAGCGATCCGTTCATTCCCCAACACTTGGAGGGAAAGCCTTCAGAAACTTGAAAATTTGCCCCTTTTTTGAATTTTTTCCACTCCAAAGCGATGGGGAAGAGATAGAAACCCAGCCTGGCTGGAGGAAAAACCTCCGGACAGCTGAATTATTGGAAGTGGACGCGATCCAAGCTCTATTTTGAGAGGACAAACCAATAGGACGCGGCCTGAAGAGCTGCTGGTTAAATTATAACCCTTGGAGCGAACGTCCCGAGAGGCATCGCAGGTTCTCTGCTCCAGAGAGCCTGGTGAAAAAGCTTCTGCTGACTTGGTCCTAAGCTTCATCCCCTCTCCCACCCCAGCCAGAGCTTACCAGGATGGATGAGGAACATCTCCATGATGACCTCCACGTTTTCAAAGGTAACCTTCAGCCGCCGCAGCCCTTCAACCCGCCGCCTCGAGGAGCTGGGCAGGAGCAAAGAGCCCGTATCTTGCGGCGTGGTCTTACCCCACCAACGTGCTTGGTTTCTGAGGGAGAGGAAGGTCCACGCTCTCCTTCTTCCTCTCCTTAGGCAGCTTGGCTAATCGCCTCTAACGAGGTTGATGGGTTGGGGTGGGGAAGCCCACCCTGCTGAGCTCGGTGCTGGGGTTAGGGCTCGGACGGAAGACGAGGGAAAGGGGCTTTGCGGCAGGCCGTCGCTGCGGCGAAGGTCTGCTGGTGCTGCTGGTGGTGGTGGAGTGGAGCTGGTGGTGCCCAACCAGCAACACCCGAGAGCGTTCGGCCTTGGGAATGTCCCACGCCGGAGCAAAACCAGGCTCTTCCTGGAGCTTTCCCAAGTGGAGCTCCCCAAATTGAGCAGCCGGCACCCTTGCAAACCTCCCGAGGCTGAAACTCGGAACCCGAGGGTGTCTCCGAGCCTCAACCCCTCCGAGAAGGGCTCCTGATGCCGGCTGGGGATGGCCAAGAGCCCTCCGCACCGCGGGCTGTCTCTTGGGGACCCATTTCCCCTCTGCAAAGGTGTCCTAGAGAGCCAGGAGGGTTTAAAAGCGTGTCACGGCCCAAACTACGCGGTGTAAGCCCGTAGTTTCTCTGCGTTTTGCTTAGGCGACACCTGAGATCACCTGCCCTGCCCTGAGCAAGGCACTGAGGAAGAGCCGCCTGCTTTGGGGTGCCTTCAGCCCCCCGGCTGGGTCTGAACAGGAATCATCACCAAAATTTTGGCTTCTGTAGCAACTGGTTAACTATTCTGGGTTATTTATTAACCCTTCTAGAAATGGAACCGGAGGAGCTACGAAAAAACCCCGCTGAGCCGAGGGGAATAATTTCACGTCTCTCTCGTTTGCTTTTGAAGACAGAAACTTCTTCCGGCAGAAGCTGAGGTCCTTCTTCGCGGTGTACTTGCTGCTGGCCCTCTCCTTCTTGCTGACCTTCACCCTGTTCGCCGTCTCGCTCTCCCGAGGTACCGCGGCGTCTTTGAGCTAATTAATTCAGCAGCCAGGACCGAGAGATACGTGAGGTCTAATTGCGCTTCGCTTACGTGCCAGAGGACTTTCGAGGTCCGAAATCCGCGGGCAGGGTGACCAGAGGAGCGCCCAGGTTATCCCACGTAGCCACCGCTGACGTCCATGCCGCCATCTCTGGCTCACCCAAGCTATAAGCGATATATTTTAAATTTTTCTGGGGTTTCTTTGCCCCGTGGGCTGCTGGAAAAATAAACGGTGCCTTCAGCTTTGCCAGGGTGAGGGGTTTGCGGGCGGTGGGCGCGCGCCCCAGCCGATAACCCAGCACCTCTCTGTCTCTCTCATAGTTTCAGCTCTTTCTTCTAAACTCAACGAGGTGCAGCCGGAACGGAAACAGAACTTTTCTGGCAGGGATTTTCTCCGTAAGTCCTGGCTGCTGCCCAAACCCGCGAGCTTTTCTTTCCCTCGGAAGTTTCCCTAAATTGTCCCCGAAGGATTCCTGCTCGCGATTGCTTCGCTAAGGCGGCGCAGGGCGTACGCCCCCTTTTCACTTTTCTTCGGGGCCGTGCCGTCGTCTCTGCACCAGTTTGGCACTGGAGCGCTGCTGGGAAACCCCTTGTGCTGGGACGAGCCCGGCGAGGACCAGCGCGACCGCCTGCGATCCCCCCCCCAATCCCTCTTTCGCCAGTGTTCCCCTGCGGACCCGGATCCAGGGAATGGGAATACTTTGATGGGAAATGTTACTACTTCTCCCTAACCAGAACGAGCTGGTACAAGGCGAGGGCTGATTGCGAAGAGATGCACTCGCAGTTGGTCATCATTAACAGCTACGCCGAGCAGGTAAAGACCCCAGCTCCAGGCGGGAACCCCCCAAGCTCACCCGAATCCTGCCCAGCCCCCCGCTTCTTCCCCAGCCCCCATTCTGCGCACCCCAACCTCGCTGGGCAGCCGAGAGCTGGTGCTGTTATCCTTTGCATCAGCCAGCAGAGAGCAGGCAGGACCTGCTCTGCCCGCCCGCTGCCTGCGTCCAGGGCTTCTCATCTGGGCGCACGGGGTGCTCAGACACAGCACCGGCACCCATCCTGCTCCTCCGCCCCGTAAATAAACAGCCGAGCGCGGAATTGTGCCTCTCCGGCTCCTCCACGGCGCAGACGCGGAGCTGAGGTTGCCTTTTCCTTTTCCTGGTGCTTTTCCCTCCTGATCCCTCTCCCCGCTGCAGAGTTTTGTCATGTTCAGGACAAGGAATGAGCGTTTCTGGATCGGGCTGACGGACGGGAATTCGGAAGGGGAATGGGAATGGGTTGATGGGACCGACTACAAAAGCACGTTCACGTGAGTGCCGGCCCGCCCTGCATTCTCCTGCCTGCCCCCCTCCCAAAAAAGCAGGCAGCTCCCCTGCCTGCGCACCCCGGTTTCGGGCAGCGGACCGGGTTTCTTCACCCTGCCCTGGGACGGGCGCTCCCACGAGGTCTAACACGGCCTCAGAGGCGAGAATTCACCTCTAAAACCAAAAATCAGCCAGGTTCACAGCAATGAACATCATACAAATACATCAGGCATATGTGAGGGACTGCAAAGTGTGTTTGCTATACCATTTTATAAATAATATAACAAATGGAAAGCTACATTCTCGAGGAGTAAAGAGGCAAGGGCATTCAATTAGATTTTAAACTTGTATTCCCTATACTAAATTTTCCTTCCTGAGTAAAACTCCTCACAAATAGACCCATTCTTGATCTCCAGTGCTGGCTGGTGAAGTATGTGGAATTGCATGCTTCACATTCTGATGCAAAAGAAGATAGTAACTTAGGAAAATGCAGATGCATACAGTTCACTCTTTAAACAAGCAATCATAGTATCCTATATGTTGATAGCATTGCTTTCTGCCATGTACTTGATTTCTCTTAGGAATCAAGTGATCCTTCTGCAAGGTGGAGAGAAGAAAAAACAAGAGGCTATTTCTACAAGTCAAATACTCGAAAGTGAGACACTATTTCTTTTAAATACAGTTTTTGCTTGTGCTTTGCTTCATTTTTCATCTTTTTGCTACTGTGAACCTTTAGGAAGCAGGACATATGAGACCACAAACAATTTTTCTATCGCTTGGAACTTCTGGTGTTTTAACAGCATTTAACATAGGATTCATCTCATGAACTTCAGTTACCTAAAAGCTTGCATCCAGTCTGTGCCTTTCATCTCCACTTCCTCTATAGGCACTGAAGAGAAACTGGAGTTTCCAAAAAGGCGTTCTGCACATCTGTCTTTGACGCCTGTCATAGGCATGATATGACAGGTGTCTAATCTCTATTTATGTCTTGTCTCACTTAACTGATTATTCAAATTTAGACAAAATAAAATCTATCATCACTGTAAGCTTAATGGAAGATAAACTACCTCTTTCAATTAATGAGTGAGAAAGTTTTAAAGAAGATAAGCCTGTGAAATAAGTACTTGTTCCCCAACAAGCAACATATAACTCCAGGGTTTTCATTTTCCTTTAAACTAGAAATATAAACTTGCATTATTTTCTACAGCCTTCTTTATCACATAATTCCTTGTTGTCTAGCCACTGATGTCATTCGCTAATGATTATATGGGAACTTTTTTCTCTTCTTTTTTATTGTTGATCTAGAGCTTATGAAGAAGTTCCTTGGGGCAATATATTACGTTCCAAAATCCAGCCTCCAGAATCAGCAGTGAAAGTGTTGGCTGATCCTGTTTCCCACTGTTTCACAAAAAGGAGATACAATCTTGAACCTGAAATAAGCCAAGTCGGTGAACAATTTCTTGCTGATGGGTTTTAGGTGTTGCTAATGAAATGTAGCCTAAATTTTGTGTAGGTCATACACATAAACTCACAGCAATATTTTCAGATCAAAACAGTCCCAAGTGAACATTGAAGGTCATCAGCACACTCCAGTAATTGCCTCAAATGATTTCATAATTTTTCCCTCCCCCTCCCCTGTAAATTGGTACAGAAGAAGATATGCATGCACAGTGACAAAAGAGAGGACAAGGATACTGATGAAAAATTCATTGATAGGAAAGATCCTGTAGCATAACAAATGTCACATTAATTTATTGTGATTAACTGTATTTATTATTATTTTTACTAAACTAGTATTCAGTGCTGCGGTTGGTTCTGATTCCTGCATGAAAATCTATTAGGCCAAATTAATTAGGTAATGTTGCCTTACAAGAAGTGTCTAAATATGGTTTTAGGTTTGTTGGAGGCTTCTGCGACAGATTTCAGACAAGATCTTTTACCTCTCCACGGAGACCTGTTGACTTGTAAGTTTCATTTTTTTGTGAATATCGGGGTCCTCTGAGCACTTCGGTTGTGAAGGCTGCACACAGTTAATTATTTCAGAAGACTAAATTCAGCAGCATTCTATAACCAGAGAAGTTAAGATATTCAATCAATAAGTATATGAAAAGTGTACTCTAACATGCTTCTCTGGTGAGGGACTTAAATATAAAAAGCAGAACAGAAGAAATCTGTAAAGTAAATGATTGTCATGTCTTCATACATCTGATGTTTTCATTAAACACGACATTTACGAAAACACCATGGTAATCATACATGTATAGAAACTCAAGATTTTATCTGCTGTCTGTAGAATGCAAAACAATCACCTCTGCATTGTTGTCTTTTCTTTACTCTCTATTTCACCTATTCTGTTCTATCTCAGACTGGTGCATTTTAGATGAGCCCAGTAAAGGGTGACAGGAGGTTCAGAAGGGCTCAGATAAGAGCCGAATACAGATGGGGGAGGAGGGGAGGTTGGTCAAAGCAAGAAAGGAAAACTAGAACTTGTCTCCTTTCCAGGCCGTGAGCCAGCAGGTTTCCTTGGGCAAACTCAAGGGACAGGTGTGCTACTAGGCACAGTCAGGCATACAATGCAAGAGACAGGTACCTCTACAGGAGATGTAAAAACCTCTCTACAGGGAGATAAAAACCACTGTCATTATGGCTTCTTGGATGCTGCTCTTTCAGAATAGTATAGATGTGGCCAGTGAGAGCAGCTTGCAGGGCCAGAGCAAAAGAGAAGTTTAGACCTGAAGTTAATTTTTCCCATGTTCTCAAGAACTGAGTGAGAAAAGTGTTAAAAGTAGAGATGCCATTCATTTTTAAAGACAACTTGCCTATACAACCCTAGGGAATTGACTGAAGTCCCAATATCTGGTGATGAAGATTAAAAGAAAAAATTCTGCCTGCTAAACTGGGTCATTTAGCATATATGCCAACCTAATCATTTACCATGGTCTTTTACCAGATTCAAATGAGCATTGCATCATTCCAAGAGCAGAACTTTGACTTGTCACCACCTCTCTTTTGGGACCTCATAAATATTCTATCAGAATATTCTCTCTGGTGAAAAAAAGGTGATGGATCTATTTTGTCTTTAACAGTGTAAGCCGAAGCTCTCGATCCTGTCATATCCCTTTGTATACGCAAGTACAACATCCCTGGGTTGTTTCGACGTTCTACATTTTTGATTAAGCCCAAGCAATCCATCTCTCATTTTCTGAAGCAAGAGTTGTAGATGGACTATGTTATCTAATCTTAAAGTGTTTTCTGGTGCCAAGGGAGAGTGTGTGCCGAGTCTCCTCTGCTTGTGAGTGACTCTAGCCTTTTACCTGTAAACTAGAAATCAGGATCAATTATGTCCTCCTTGGGGGGATATCCCATTCTGATCATGGGCACAGCCAAAAGGACAAGAGATAGTACATTTCTATTTTATTTCTGTTCTTCCCAAGACTCCTCTCTGCACATATGTACTAGAGCTGTCATTTGTTATGTGCTGCA